GAGGAGGAGGAGAGGTATACGGAGAATGAGGAGAGGAAGAGGAGTAGGAGGAAGAGGAGGAAGCAAGTAGAAGGGACGTGCAAACTGGTTGTCAGCACTGGCCGTTCCCAGAGGAGATAAAGAAGCGGTCCGCGCAGTACTCGACCACCGAGTATACTAATGGAACATACATGCCACTCGGGAGAGTGGCGTGGAAAGAGGGAGGGGGAAAGCTAGGCTTCATACAGGCGCAGCGGGCTCGATCAATTCTTGCACCACCCTCGGAAGCAACAAGAACCGCAGTCGAAATCGCCAGGGCCTCCGAGCTCGAAACCACGTGAGAAACCCGATCGGCGCCCACTGTTTTCCAGGGTGCGAGCGGAGAATGGGCCGAGCTGGCGAGGGGCGTTGGAAAGAGGTGGCCGCGAAGATAATCGTGGACAGCCAGCGAGAAGAACGATGTGGAGAGAGGAGAGAGGGGATGGACAGACAGCCCCGCCAGGCATCGAAGTATTTTGCAAAATGTATGCTTCTTGGACCTCCTTGGATATATTTTGACAGCATGACGGAGGCGCTGCGATGCCTATACCTGACCCGCGCCGTGTTCTCAGCAGCCGAATCGAAACGAATGTCGATCCTACGGCCGATCGATCCCACGACCGACGGCGACAACTGAGTAGTATCACAATTTCCCCGAGGGCGGTGACATCCCGAGTAGTATCACACTTATCCCGACGATGGCGATTGGGGCAGTGGGCAGTGAACGACGGCGCGAGAGAGTCCTCTCGGGCTGAGGGCTACAACAAGCACTTCGTCGAGGCCTGGTCCACCTTCTCCGAGTGGTCGAACGACGAGCAGCGCTTGAGGGACAGCCGTCGGGGCAGGGCTCGCGGAGGAGGATGAGGAGGAGGAGGGGAGGAGGAGGAGGAAAGGGAAGGAGGAGGGCGGACCATAATAGTTTTCCGTTAGAGTAGGCGGAGGAGGGCGCCAGGTCGAGGAGGTGAGAGGAGGAGAAGTAGGGGGAGGCAAAAGGGATACGTAGGAGGCTGGCGAAGGAGGAGGGATCCATGATGGTAGTGTTGAAGATGATGATGTTGGTGATGATGATGATGATGATGATGATGATGTGGATGATGCTGATGGTGATGCTGCTGATGATGACGAATGCATTTCTAAGGACGCTACGGCGCCAGCTGCGGCGATCTCGCAGGTGCAGCAGGCTCTTCCAGCAGCAGCGCATGCGCTGCAGGGGCAGGCCCCTCCAGCTGGCGCAGGCGCGGCGGCTGGGGCCAGCCCAGAGGAGAAGGCGCCTCCAGAGAAGGCGCCGAGGCAGCCGAGGCAGCCCAGGTCTGCAGATCAGGTCCTGATGAAGTCAGCGAAGGAGAATTTTGACAAGCTGATGAAGCTTACGGGGAGGGCTGATACCACAGAGCAGATGGTGAAGGACAACCTCGACCACTGGGGATGGGCTGCTGAGGACGGCGACTTCAAGGAACTCCAGCAGCAGGTCAACGTGCTCAACGAGAAGAAGCTCAGCAAGACCCTGGCCCTCGCGACGCGCCTGCAGGACATCGCGAAAGTGAAGAAGGAGTTGGAGGCCACTGACTTTCAGGACTTGCTCGTCACGCTGTCTGGCTTGTCCTCGTCCCTGAAGTCAGTGGGGAGCCTCTTGGATGCGCTCGAGGACATGCACGCTCTGAAGACGAGGAGGCGCTTGGGCTTGTCGGGCGAGGCCAAGCCCAAGCCGAAGGGCAAGGGCAAGGCCAAGCCCAAGCCCAAGCAGTAGGGGAGCTCGCAGATCTCTGAGATCTAAACGAGTTATGGTGCATGTATTGGTTAGCCGGCCCCTGGGGTCCGAAAACCACCCATGTGAAAACTACGATTTCACATGCCCAATCACACCCGTGTGAAAATGAATTTCACATGGCTTTCGCCCGAGACATCCTCGTAAAATCGACAGGCGCGTTTATTTTCACACGCAAGTTCACGCCCGGATGATTTGGCATGTGAAATCCAGATTGCGAGTTTTCACTTTCGGAACCGAGAAAACACAATGATATATCAGGATAAAGCTCTGGCCTACAGCTGCCAACTAGATCTTGAGATTGTCTGCGCTGGGGTATGCCTGTGAAGTTGCGTGTCTCTGGGGCTCGGCCACCTGATCGATCGAGAGTGTTGCATGAGAGAACATGCAACAGCGAGATTGCTGGGAGAGATGCAGCGAGATAGGGAGAAGAGAAGTAGAGGAGAGAGACAGTGACGAGACAGTGCACATGACGGGAACAGGTAAAGACTCGAGATACAGTGAGAGAGGGAGAGGTCGGGCTGCAAGAGCAAGGGTTGCAGGGATAACAAGAGCGAGAGAGAGAGAGAGAGCGAGAGAGAGAGAGAGAGGGGAAGACAGAGAGAGAGAGAGAGAGAGAGGGATAGCGAAGAGATAGGGGAGAATTAATGCAATCATAAGGCCAGGGACAGAGCAGAATAGAGGGATCAACGAGAGAGAGATACATACAACAACAACGAACGCAGACAGAGCGTAACAGGACAGCAAGACAGTGAGAGCACACAGCAACACGTGTATGTTCTTGAAGAATGATCAAGGTGGCCATGAGACCGCAAGGTGAGACAGGTGCAAGTCCTCGTTTCTTTTTGTCTAGGAGGGGAACCATATCCTCTCCATCAGTGCGCGTGAGAGGGAACACATATGCCTCTCTCGTGGCGGCGTGCCCGCAAGGCCTGCTCTTTGACGGCGGTGGGGGCGCAACGGAGTTCAGGTGCAGCGTCTCACTTTCTGTTGGTGCGAAAACAACGGTGGACACACGGCGGTCCTCACAGATAGCGCCGCGCTCGTGTGTTCGAGGCTCGCGCCTAGCGCATTCGTGCTCCACTGTCGTCGCTGGGTCAGTGCGGCGGCACGTCGTTGACCCTAGATGGCCAATATCGGCATGGCGATGACGATGGGAAGGATGGGGAGGGGATTAGGGCAGTGACGGTGACGGCGCTGGCGAAATGACGGCGACAACGACGGCGGCGGCGACGGCAACGGCGGCGACGGGAACTGGGTCGAATACCTACATATAGGGCACAAAAGCCGAAGACGGACCATCCGCTTTGGCCGCCAGGGTCGGCGGAGTGGCGTCGGCCGATATCATGGCGCCTCCTCGTTGAGCACCTGGGCCGCTGGCTCGGCACGCGTCGTCGTCGACCATCGTCTTCGTGGATCTCAGTCGTCGATCGCTGTTGCCGTCGATCGAGGACGTCGTCTTCGTTCGCACTTCTTTGCTGGCCCTCGAAACCACAGCGCCACGCCTGTTCAGGCCCCCCCAACGATTGAGACTGCGACGGCGATGAGACATTATGCCCGATAGTTGCCATTCCGATCGAGACCACCCGCGATGGGTGTCAATGATGAGCAGGAGCAATGCAGGGTCGAATGGCTGAACGAAAAAATGGCCCACGCGGCAAACCGAATGTTCCCTTGGCAGTCGGAAGGAACGCCCAGCATTGTATGCATTCGTGCCTGCGGGCAAGCTGCAGAACTCGCATCGGCCGATACATCTATTACACGACGCCCCAATGCACGATCCTGAGGTGTCGGAGCAGGCATTGAAGGGGCACTGCGAGCAGCGCAAACTTGATGAGAAACAGGAGGAACACCACACCAAGGGATAACACACAACAGCGAGACGGGGGGAGGCGGATGAGGCCAGCTAGGGAGTGATAGGCATGTCAGATCGGCGATGCATCGTGAGAAGGCAGCCAGCTCGGCGAGGCATCCTGGATAACCCCAACTCCCCACCCCCACCCGTTTCCTTGAGGGGGCCTCTCTTTCACCGAGCACCGCCGCGGGTTCGGGACTATTCTAGAGCTTCGCTCGAGACCCGTCCCCACCAAAGCACGCGCGCTGCGTGCGCTGCGTGGAACAGCTGCGGTGTGGCACGGCGCGCGCGCGCGCATCACGGCGCATGCATGCGACGCACATGTTGGCTCGACGGTGTGCCCTATTAAGAGCTGCCCTGCGCTGCAACGCGATGGCAACTGCTGCGTCGCCACCGCCCAGATGGGCCCCCCGCGCATCCGTGGAGCGGGAAGCTGGCGCTGATCTATTGAAATATTTCTTGGATCTCTATGCAAAGTGCCGCTTCACCGCAAAAGACTTGTGTTCGGTCTGTTGGTTTGCTGACCGAGCGGGGGTGCAAGGTGGTTCGTTCTCGACGTACGCTTATGACCCTAGTGCGCAGAATGCTGGTAAATTCCAGGAACACCTAGATCGAGTGCTACCTGACCCAGGCCTGCTTCATTATGTAAAGGTTCCGATGAACAAAAAAATGCATGCGCATCGCGCAGTATATGATGTGCCTGTACGTGCGTTATGGGACTCGTTTGCTCAGGAGGTCGCCTCGGACACAACCGTCATGCGAACCCTTGGGACAGCTGCAGAAGATAGAACCGACGAGTGCATCCTAGACGTACCTGTATTTAAAAATCATCCGCGTGTCCTGGAGGCACAGCAGCTTGGGTTAACGTTGCCAGTGCCAATAGCAGTTTACCTGGACGGAGTCCGATTTATCACTCAGGCTGCTGGCCGCTCCGAGTCGGTCTTGGGCGCATGGGCTGTCAACCTTATCACGCAACGCAGGCATTTTTTCACGGCGCTTAAAAGTGCCGACATGTGTTCTTGTGGGTGCAGGGGGTGGTGTAGTTTGTGGCCCATTCACAAAACGTTGCAGTGGCAACTGGAGTCCCTGGCGCACGGGATTCCACCGCCACGAACCCACACTGGCGACGCTTGGCCCGCGCACAGTCCAGTCAAGAACCAAGGCCCCTTAGGTTTCTCTTGTGTGCTGATTTACTTGAAGGGTGACTGGGCCGAGCAGTGCCAGTCCCTCGGCCTCGGGAGCTGGGCAAAATCACACTCGCCATGCCAATTTTGCGTCCTCGGGAAAGCTGAGCTGTTTGACCATGATTGTGAGCTGGACGAAGATTTTGGTGAGTTGCCGTATCCATACAGGACCAAGGAAGATTACGCTCGAGACTGTCTTAGGTGTGAGGTCGTCGTGCAACTTCGAAATAATCTAGACCGTAAAGAGCTCTGCGATGCGCTGCGCTGGACCAGAGACAAAACTAGAATAGGCGGTCGTGTAGTATATAGAGACACTCGTGTAAACGGTGTGCTTGTTGTTCGTGGTGATAGGTTGGAGCCGTCAGATGAATTGTGGGGCGTCGCTGCGCTCGAGAATATTCCCGCCCCGACAGTTGTGCGCTTGTGGCGAGCAAGATATGATGGATCCAAATGCATGGACGCTGTTAACCATCGCTGCCCGTTGTTCTGCAACACGTTGCATTCAACACCAGTAGGCACGCTTGCAATAGATGCGCTCCACAGTGTTTACTATGGACCTGTTATGCGTTATATTTCATCTGCGTTATGGCGCGTTGTGCTGCGAAACCCGTGGAACATATGTGGCGACGTGGAAATAGTTGTTGTATCTAGCATGCCCTTCCTTTCGGCCGAGCTCGACAAATGGCAGGTGGACAAAGGCATCCCTATCAAAAACAGGTACCAAGGTTCGTTGACAGTTGGTGTGTTGGGCAAGCGACTTGGGCACACATTGCAGGAGCGCGTTTTGTTGTTGCATGTGCGCGCGTGTTGTGCGAGGGGGGGGGATCTAGGGGGAGCGAGACGAGGATGGAGGTCAGGTTAAAGAGGGGGAGGGGGGAACGAGACAGGAGAAGCACAGACGGCACTAAGATGGGAGGTGGGACGATCGTCGAACATGCTTCCAGGAGCGGCTCGAGGCCGGTAAGGATAGCCTCGGGGAAGCACGGGGGCAACGCGGGAGGATTGGAGGGCGACAGGCAGAGGAGATGAACACGAAGAGGAGGGGCATATGAGGCGGCTAAGGACGGTAGGAGGAGAGCCAAGACAGGGAGGGGCATGCAGGCCAGGGTGCAAGTCGAAGCAGCGAGGCGTCGGGCGGCCTCGCCAGTCTGCGACGCTCGTGCTCGTGCTCGGCCCAGTCGTCAGTTGGCCCGCCGTCCCCGCGCGGAGGCATTTAAGATTGTACGAGTCCCACGTCTGCCTTCTGCGCCACTCGCGCGGGCGTGATTTTTTGCAGCTCGCAGTCTTCACGAGGGGGCCGCTCTCGCGAGAAATCGCTGCACGATGGGGTGCCCTTGGATTCCCCTTGTGAAAATTGCGAGCTGCTTCAGATCGCGCTCGCTCGTCGCCCCACACTCCCCCCCCATAACCGATCAGAACATCCGCTCCAGAACCCGCTGCACCCTGGGAGCAACATGAGCTTGAAAGCTGGCGAGTGCGCGGTTATTCTGGAGTTCGCACATGATATGCTTGTCAAATTCGGTGGCCTCGAAGTACATGGGGGTCCAATGATAGGCGCGGGATGGCACTTGAAACGATTTGCCGATGAGATGCGCAGTCACAAGGCTACCGTTCCATATGATGGGTACAGGCGTATGATATCACATCTGACGTCCTTCAACATGTGCTGCAGAGCTGCGGGGGTGAAGCCAACCCCCAAGAGTCATCAGATTGGGCATCTCGTATGCAGGACCAAGGGCGAAGCGGGAAACGTAAGGGGGGAAAGAGGATCCGCCGAAGGAATGGGGGTCAAGCGGATAGCGTTGGCGTCGGCCGTTCCGCATGACACGCGCAGGGCAGCACCTCCCCCCCCGCCCCCTGATAAGCATGCGAGCCCAGCCCCGCCACGGAGGGCCCAGGGAATTAAAGGGGAGAGCCAC